GTAGTGTGTTGGTCGTCATTTTGGCAGGATGGTGTCCATGATGTTTGCTCCACAAGACGTTCTGCAGGTCGTTCTGAGGTGAGTACAGGGGTTTAAGCGGGGGGGAGGGGAAGGTGATATGTGGTCATTTCAGGCTCTGGCTTGAGGGAACAACGGGCGGAGAGATCAACCGCCCCTCCTGCGCCCACGCCACCACCTAGGCTGCAATACAGTTCAGCCGGCACAGCTGTGACAAAAAAGTCAGTGGTTCCTCAATTATGTTCCCGCGAGAGTGCTGAGGCATACAGTAATTCATAAGCCCGGCTAGCCCAGTAAAACAGGAATAAGTCTTAAAGTCAGCTTTTGGTCTGGAGCTCTGGGTACATGCGACTGCTCAGAATGGTGGTCATTCTTTTTTTTTTTTTTAACTGCTCCTCTTCTGGTTGCTTTTTCTCACTTGATCTGTGAACCCAATTGTGGGTAAATGCACCTATCTGCAAAACAGATACATACTATTTCACACCATTACAATGACTTTTCTGTCCATCATAATAGTTTTCCCATATCTTGTTTAATGGACTATATTTAAATGGGATAAACAATAAATTGGCAATCAAACTAAATATAATTTTCAGACAGAGTGACCCAGCCAAGCAAACATTTTTCAGCGGCGCACAAGTCCAATTTTAACTTTAAATACATGTTTACTAAATGCTACCATAGTTCATATACATTCCATTATAATCTCACTGCAGTCAGCAGTTTTAATGGCTCAACATAGAAAATATGTATTTGTATACTAAAAGGGTGAAGTTGGCAATCAGATAATTGAGAGGGATATTCAGTGTTCTAATTTTCCCTGGGAATGGAATGTTAAACTGAAAGTTAAAAATGTCTCCTTTTAACATGCACACAATGATCTGTGACTTTTCTGCAACGATGAAAGATTCTGCACTGAAGTCAAGAATTTAAAAAAATACCTCACACTGACAGATTTTCAGTTCCCAAGAATAGAATATTTCTGTCTCTCACATCTGACATTTAGTAAGTAATATTTTGCTACTACACCCTGACTTTGTTTTGTTACTGTGGAAACTAGAAAATAAGCAAACATTTGGTTGCTATGTCATATTATCAGTTGAGGTTTTGACAGAAATGGAAAAACTGCATTCATTTTTACATTAAACTTTAGCAATTAAATATTATGGTGTAGATTATTTCTCATACTGGTATTTTAAACTATAGAAACTTAACACTGTAACTGCTAAAGAAGTTGTCCGTTATAAAAAAAAAGTTCGACACACCTAAAGAGGAAATCTGACACAGATGATTAGATTAACTCTAAAATAGTCCCTTAGTGACATATATTTAAAGGGACATGCATTACTTTAAGACAATTGTCTCATTCAAAAGCTTTAGCTTTGAAAAAAGCAGGTAAACATATATATATAGAGAGAGAGAGACCACATCTAATTCGTATCACATTGTCAGGATCACGGTTTGATCCAGCACGTAGAACTGTACAGCACGGATGACAAATAAGTAACGTATTACCGGTCCTTAGAATGGCCGGATTTAACGTACAAAGAATAGTCAAAAATACTAGCCGAGGTCAGGGAACACAGAAAGGGACACAGCGATGAGGAAAGCCAGGAGTCAGGATACCAGAATATAGAGAAGTCAATAAACAAAGCCAAAGTCAAAAACCAGGTAGAAAATTATAAACAGGAACGCGCTCTCGGACAACCACAAGGGAAACCACGACAGGGCACTGAGCAGGCTGAGAACTGGGCCTAAATACCCCTCCTTTCTTTCTGATAGGCTGTAACCGGCCTTTGACCCCAAAGTCAGTTACCAGGTTTCATTTGCATAATTGCTGCTCAGCATTAACCCTTCTGTGGATTAGGTTGCTGCTCGGCACAACTTTTCCTGTGTGGACAGTAAATGTCATTAACCACTTTTCTATAAGCGGATGAATACATGAGACCAGGTTTCATTTGCACAATTACTGCTCAGCATTAAACCTTCTGTGGATTAGGTTGCTGCTCGGCACACTTTTCTTGTGTGAACAGTAAATGTCATTAACCACATTTCTATAAGCGGATGAATACGTGACACACATAGAGCCCTAAATGGTTTAAAATATATTAAGAAGATATGGATTTCTGCATAAATTGGTCATAAAATGTGATCTGATCATGATCTAAGTCACAACAATAGACAATCACAGTCTGCTTAAACTAATAACACACAAAGAATGAAATGTTGCCATGTTTTTATTGAACACACCATGTAAACATTCACAGTGCAGGTGGAAAAAGTATGTGAACCCCTAGACTAATGACATCTCCAAGAGCTAATTGGAGGGAGATGTCAGCCAACTGGAGTCCAATCAATGAGATGAGATTGGAGGTGTTGGTTACAGCTGCCCTGCCCTATAAAAATCACACACCAGTTCTGGGTTTGCTTTTCACAAGAAGCATTGCCTGATGTGAATGATGCTTCGCACAAAAGCGCTCTCAGAAGACCTACGATTAAGAATTGTTGACTTGCATAAAGCTGGAAAGGGTTATAAAAGTATCTCCAAAAGCCTTCTGTGGACAGATGAAACCAAAGTTGAGTTGTTTGGAAGAAACACACAACACTATGTGTGGCGAAAAAACAGCACACCAACATCAAAACCTCATCCCAACTGTGAAGTATGGTGGTGGGGGCTGTTACGATTGCCCCCAGTCTAGCAGGAGGGTTGATCGCTTGGATGTCCTGGTTCCCGCTGTAGAGAGTCGAAACGGAGGTCTTTCGGTAGAAAGCTGCAAGTGTAGAATATCCCCAAGCACAATATAAGCATCAATATCCCGGATCCCTACAACATGAGTCGAGGCTTCAAGTTGAGGGTCAAAATGAACTGGCTTTACTGGCACATAGCATGGCAATTTATGTGATTCCTCAGGTCCAAGGACAGCCCCCTGTGGACCTGATGGAATACAGGTAAAGTACAGACAAATATCCAATCACAATACAGTGTATTATTTGAATTAGTACCCGCCCAGCTTGGAGATAATGAGGCCAACGGTTATACAATCTAATTATCTCCAAGCACACAAAAGACCACGTTTTATTGTGTCCCTGAAAACTGCATAAAAATACATAACTTTAACATTAATAAAGGAAAACAGTTCATTCTACTATTCATCTAATGGCTCGCGTTCGTATACAGTAACCATACGAATGGCGCTCCAATCCCACGAACAGAATGGGCTATTTCTGCCGTATAAAGTCCGTTCGGCACTTTGGATTGTGAGTCTCTGTTGGCGGCCATGTTTTCTGACGGTTTAGCGTGCAGCGGGACCTCGCTTCAAACTCATGGAACTAAACTCGGGTATCAGTTCATGCGAAGCCCCACTGTCTGTCTGGTGGTGGAACTCGTTTGGTACATGAACGAGGACCACCTGGTAGAAGGGTACTTGACCTGCGGTTAAGCGCAGAAACCACAGGTTAATGATCACCACGCGACCCGCTGTAGGGGGTCGCCGTTCGGTTGATGGTTCGGTAGATTCCCTTCAGCACTTCGGGTGCGAACGTCGATTCCCCCAGGCCTATCAATTAGGTTGTGGTATAACCACAAACCTCAAAATCTAGGTTTAGACCAAAGGGGGCCAGAGTGTCCATTTCAAAGATTGTGGCTTCCAGTACATTGGTAGGACCAGGGGTGTATTTACCCCGAGGCAAACAAGGCATTTGCCTTGGGTGGCACTTTCTGGGGGGCGGCAAAAAAAGCCTGGGTTTTGTCATGCCAAGGCCAACACAAAACCAAGGTACACCACTGGGTAGGACCACTAGATTATTATTATTATTATGTTATTTATATAGCGCCATCAAATTCCACAGCGCTTTACAATGGGTGGACGAACAGACATGTAGTTGTAACCAGACAAGTTGGACACACAGGAACAGAGGGGTTGAGGGCCCTGCTCAATGAGCTTACATTCTAGATGGAGTGGTGTAAAATGACACAAAAAGGTAAGAATAGTATTAGACTAGTGACAGTTGCTGAAGAGGAATCAGTCAGAGCTATGAACATTTTAATTGATACGCTTTTATGAAGAAGTGTGTTTTTAACGATTTTATTGAAGGAGTGGATACTGGGTGAGCATCTAACGGAGGAGGGAAGCGAGTTCCACAGGAACGGTGCAGCCCTCGAGAAATCTTGAATGCGAGCATCAGAGGTGGGAGTAGGGACAGAAGATAGACGTAAGTCTTCAGCAAATCGTAAGGACCTAGATGGGACATATTTGTGTATAAGGGAGGATAGATAGGTGGGAGCAGCATTATGTAGCAAACTGAAAGCAAGAACCAAAATTTTAAATTGAGCTCTATATTTTATAGGAAGCCAATGTAGGGACTGACAGAAGGGTGCTTAAAGACTAGAATTTATGAGCATATTCGTAATATCAAAAATAAGATGCTCAATCATGGTGTCTGCTCATTTTGCTCAAATTCATAATGTAGATCCAAAGTACTTGCACTTTATTGGGATACAAAAAGTGGAAAAAGATTGGAGGGGTGGGGGCAACCATATTGAAAAATTAAATAAAAGTGAGATGTGATGGATCTTTGAAATGACCCCCTCTGGTCTAAAAATCGATTTTGAGGTTTGTGGTTACCTGCACCACTTTTTATGTTCCTAATATGCCTTCTTTTTTTATTTTCTCTCTTTTTTAATATAAGAATTCCTTTTTTAATTTAGGAAACTTTTAATAAATATTTTTGAATATATATTAACTTTTTAATTAGTAAGATGATATTCTTAATATTTTTTAAACCATTTAGGGTTCTATGCAGGGCCGGATTAAGAACACAGTGGGCCTGGTGCTGACCATTATGATGGGCCTAATTACGGAATCTTATTGACCAAAAACACTAAAACAGTCATACTTCCCAAGCGTCATGTATCTGATGGAGATGGTGCTGGAGGGAAACTCATAGAATGCAGCTATAAGAAAATACATACTCTATGCTAATTTCTCTCTAATTTATTCTTTCATCTTTCAAGTAAATCCATAACCCCTAACAGCAGTGTCCAGTGAAGCAGGAAGTCAATGGGCGGGGTAAAAGGGTGTGCCACTGGCGCGAATCACGTGACAAGACCTGCCAAAAAGGGGGCATGTTTGTCCAAAGAATTGGAAGGTCAGCCTGGCATGAATGCATGTCAGGCTGCCTGCCAATCTTGCAGGCTGTCCAACTAAGGGCATACTATGCAGGCAGCACCTTGAGCTTGACATAAATGCGTCTAATAATGCGCTCACTCCATGCTTTCTAAGGACTTTCCCCTAGCACTCGCTGGTCCACTTGTCTCCTTACCTTCTTACTAGCAGGCAGAAGTTCCTGGTATATAGTCTGAGACAGAGAAAAGGTGTATGTAGTGAGTGTAGAAGAAAGGGGACATGCCACAGAGACCAACGTCTGCATTACCTAAACTAATTTTAATGTCAGCCAGTCCACACAAGTTTTGTTCCCATACATCCCTCTTAAGCTTCCAAACTTAAAGGGACACTACAGTCACCAGAACAACTACAGCTTATTGTATTTCTTCTGGTAAGTAGAATCATTCCATTCAGGCTTTTTGCAGTAAACACTGTCTTTTCAGAGAAAATAACTCCACTGGCCGTTCCTTAGATGGCTGCTAGAGGTGCTTCCTGGGGCAGTACTGCCTAGTCTGCAGCACTGCCAAAAGCCTGAACTTTCCTCAATGTATCTTTATGAGGAGATGCTGATTGGCCAGGGCTATGTTGGACTTGTGCTGGCTCTGCCCCTGATCTGCCAAGTTGACAGTCTCAGCCAATCCTATGGGGAAGTATTGTAATTTGTTCAGACTACCACTTCTGAGCCAGCAGCTGCAGACTTGAACACAAGTAATACTTTACTATATTTAGGGAGGCAAGAAGGGGCCAGGGTGGCGGTTTTAACCTAATAGGGTTAGAAATACATGATTGTGTTACTGACCCTATAGTTCTCCTTTAAGCAAGAATATGTGAAGAGTAGTTAAGGTTGCCACCTTTCTTGGAAAAAAATACCAGCCTTAATCATTTGTATAATTAATTAGTTATGCGTGACTTCACATGATGTAAATCACAAGAAGTGACAGCAGAGAAAATTCTGTAAAATCACCAACAAACTACTCACAGTTTGATTCTGCTGTATAGATGGATTGCTCCCAGTGTCTCCCTGTCTCCCAGTGTCTCAGTCTCGCAAGTCACCTAGTGTCTCAGTATCCCTATGTATCACAGTGTCCCCATGTCGCCCAGTACCCTAGTCTCCCAGTGTCTGTGTCCCCATTTCTCCCAGTGTCCCAATGTCCCAGTGTGTCCCCATGTCACAAGGATACTGGGGATACTGAGAGACATGGGGACACTGAGAGACCCGGGGACACAGAGACATGGGGACACTGAGACATTTAGGGAAACTGGGAGAAATGGGGACACTGAAACATTTGGAGATGCTAAGACACTAGGGACACAGACACTGGGAGACTAGGGGACACTGGGAGACTAGGGGACACTGGGAGACAGACACTTGGGGACACTGGGAGACATGGGGACAGTTGTGGAAATAGACATGGGGACACTGGGACATATAGGGAAACTGGGAGACATGGGGACACCAGGCACACTGAGACACTAGGAACACAGACACTGGGAGACATGGGGACACAAACATTTGGGGACACTAAGAAACTAGGGACACAGACACTGAGATACTAGGGGACACTGGCTGGGAGACAGACATTTGGGGACACATGGGGAGAGTTGTGGACAGACATGGGGACACTGGGACATATAGGGACACTGGGACACATGGGGACACTTGGCACATTGAGAGATATGGGACACAGACACTGGGAGACTTGGGGACAATGAGACACTAGGGACACTGGCTGGGGGACATGGGAACATAGTGTCTCCGTGTCCCAATGTCTCCCAATGTCCCTATGTCTCACAGTATCCCCATGTGTCCCAGTGTCCCCTAGTGTCTCAGTGTCCCCTAGTGTCTCAGTGTCCCCATGTTTTCCAGTGTCCCCATGTTTTCCAGTGTCCCCAAGTGTCTCAGTGTCCCCATGTTTTCCAGTGTCCCCAAGTGTCTCAGTGTCCCCAGGTCTCCCAGTGTCTGTGTCCCCATGTGTCCTAGTGTATCAGTGTCCCCTAGTGTCTGTGTCCCCATGTGTCCCCTAGTGTCTGTGCCCCCATATGTCCCCTAGTGTCTGTGTCCCCATGTGTCCCCTAGTGTCTCAGTGTCCCCATATGTCCCCTAGTGTCCTCATGTTTTCCAGTGTCCCCAAGTGTCTCAGTGTTCCCAGGTCTCCCAATGTCTGTGTCTTAGTGTCTCATTGTCCCCTAGTGTCTGTGTCCCTATGTGTCCCCTAGTGTCTGTGTCCCCTAGTGCCTCAGTGTCCCCTAGTGTCTCAGTGTCCCCATGTGCACCTGCTGCCTTTCCCCCCATCCCTTACTTACCTGAGCTGTAGAGCTGCTGTCTGGACTCTGTGCTGTGTTGCTGCTCCCCCATGGATCAGTGAGTAGTAGAGAGAGGCAGGGATATTCTGTAACTTCCTATCCCTGCCTCTCTCCACACACAGTGACCCCTACTGGCCGGTGCTGGTATTGCAGAGTAATTTCCATTTATTCGGAGAAAATTACATGCATTTGTATTACTGCAATACCGGCATGGCCAGGCAGCCTCAAAAACCGACTGTGCCAATAAAATACCAGCCAGGTGGCAAACCTAAGAGTAGTGTGTAAAAAAAAAAAAAAAAAAAAAAATTTCTTTTTTAAATGGGCCTATTGCATGGGCCTATTGCATGGGCCTGGGCCTGGGCCTGGGCCTGGAGCTCCATCAGCCCCTATGTTAATCCGGCCCTGACTGCCGCTGTAAGGAAAACTACCACTGGGGAGGTGTTATGCTACAAGGGGTTTTAGAATTGGAACTCAACTGCAGCTTGTAGAACTCCTTAATTACAATAGCAAGAAAGCGGAGAATTATTAAGGATACTGTAGCTTTAAAGCAAAGTGGTGGGTGCAGGCAGTTAGTTAAGAAAGCAAAGTCTTAATGAATGCAATAATATTTTAGTAACTGAGGATTATAACATGCAAATAACAATGCATTAGGAAGTAACTGCAGGTTATATCAAGCAAGAAACAGTTCATTAGTAAGTAAGTCTTCAGAGATTAGGGTAATTAGTATACTTAAGATTGATGGGAGTTGTCCTCCATGGGAATGTATAGCTTGAATCCAAGGGATGAATGATATACACAGTCCGGTTTTCAGGAGACTCCAATACAATCCGTGGTCAGAGGTACAGAGAAGGCAAAATCCTTTATAATAGTCAAAGGGTTTGGTAACTTTGTAAACGAAGAGCTCAGCCGGCGTTTGAATGCAGAAGTAGGTCCGAGAATCACCAAGCGGTTTGAATCTGGTGCGGTCTCTCTATATAGCGTAAGAGAGCCACATCAGAAAGGGGGCGGGGCCGGCTCCGCATACCGGAAACGCCGGAACAGATACGGCCTGACAGGAGGAAGGACGACACCTTTGGCTTCCTGTGATGGACACGGCCGCTGGGGAGGAAGGACGACACCTTTAGCTCCCTTGGGTGCACACTGTCGCTGGGGAGAGAGACCGGTTGTCTCCTCTCCCTGGAACTCGCACTGCCGCTGGGGATCTGGGTTGGCTGCCCAGCATCCCTATAGGGCCGGTAGAGAGACCTTGGTCCCATTTCCCATTTCCATCTTGGGGTGTTCCCATGACCCGTCTATGCTGTCTCTCCCGCAGAAGGGGTGTAGGTCTGGGTCTGCCTGGAGGGTAAATGGGGGCTGAATCGAGCAGAGCAAATCCGACCATCCACTCCATGGTTACCAGGTGGATCATATCTGGTTTCACCTCGTCGTTGTCAGCCCAAACATGCATGCCCATCCTGTAGTCAAGGATGTCCCAAAATCTAAACTCCTCCGTGCTGCCGAAATCAAGCTCCTCCCCCATGGCATCCAGTAGTAGACCAGGGCCATCACACTTGTCCCCCTCGGGCCTGTCAAGCTCCTCCATCCTGGGGGTATGCTGCACCATATACCACCATAGGGCCTGGTAGGCGTCCTCCAGCCAAATCTCCTTCCATACCAGCGCTGTTACCCACTCATCTAGGGGCTGCTCTCTTAGGAAAGACATTCGTAGAGCCACTTGCCTCTGTTGCCGCTGCTCTTCACTGGGAAGCCTCTTGACTCGCTGACGCTGAACATCCTCCAGGGCTTTGTCCCAAAGTTCCTTTCTGGCTTCTCTCGGTAGTCCATCATGGCCTCTTCTGATATAGGCCAATCCTGCAGGGTCAAGAGCTCCTGCAACTTCCATTGAAACTCCTCCACTTCAACCGCTGTCCGGGACCAGCTGCTTCCATAGCGCTGTAGATAGGGACGCTGCACGCTAGCTCTATCCCTCCATTATAAATCCATAACGTTACCGGTGTCTCCGAGCTGCTTCTCCTCACACTAGAACGCCATCCCACCGCTGCCACCAAATGTAACAGACCACCTGGCATCACGACTGGGCACCTCCGTTGATGGATGCTCCTAGGGATTCTCGAGGGCTCCAAGCACTCCACCAGATACCATAACCACCGCAGACCCCAACCAAGCTGCGGCGGTTCATGGGCCCTCGAGAAGCACTAGGAGCATTCATCAAAGGAGGCGCCTAGGCCCAGTGGGGGTGCCAGGTGGTCCGTTACAGGGACGTCACAGCTGCACTGCGGTCCTCCATCAATGCAGACATACAGGGATTGCGGGCAGAATTCCAAGGCTTCGCAGACTACATGGGCCACGTGGAGGCTGCCTGTGACAAACTCAGGGGATCACCGGCCACAGCAGAGAAAACCCAGGGTACTCACTTTGAACTCATGAGGGGGATGGCCCTGCATGTGGAAGACCTGGATAACCGTGGACGCTGCAACAACATCAGGCTCCGCGGCCTACACGAAGGTGAGAAAACCCCAGCTCAACTCCAAACCCATCTGAAGGAAATATTCCTGCTGATTCTGGGCCAGGAACCATCGGCCCTCATTGAATTTGTGCGAGCGCACTGTGCCCTTCGCCCAAAGGGCCCCCAGATAGCCCCCAGGGATATAATGTGCTGCCTCACTAATTTTGCACTGAAGGAGGAAATCCTCAGACAAGCCAGGGATCGCCCATCTATCACCTACCAAACATGCTCCCTGCAACTCTTCCCAGACCTTTCACCAGCTACACTGGGATACCGCAGGACACTGAAACCATTGACCAGGATCCTCCAAACATAGAAAATTCCCTATTGCTGGCAGATGCCCACAGGACTGCTGGTTTTCACCCAAGCTGGCTCATTTTTGGTTCACACACATTGTGATTTTGTGGACCTGGGCCGCGAGCTACAACTGCCTGTGATTAACATGCGCTGGCATGATCCACTGGATTTTTATGCCCAACCCCAGTCGCAGCACCTGGGACCCCCACTGCCACAAAGATACCGTTGGGAACGCCAGGAGGCCACCCACTCTTTACACGCATCTCGCTGAACCACACCTCTACCTGCACCATATAATTCTGAGGTTTTTACGAAACTATATCCTCTTTTTTCCTCTTCCTCCTCTCACCCCATGCATCGACTCCTGAAACTATTGCTGACCACCAATTGCCGCACAAGGCTCACCACCACCACCACAGCTATGCACATATCTCCTGATTTGTACTTTGCCTCACCTATACCAATATCCAACCAAACCTCTCTACAACCGCAATAGCAGGTATATTTTTATTGCATCTGGATCCCAAGGTCAGACTACTTGGACTGTCGCTTGGACTATTGCCGGCAGGTGGGAACCTGGCCAAATACGGCTAGGGGGGAGGACATTAGGCCCCCCTTATTAGTATTTAGGGCCCCCACCCACCGCTCAGGGGTGGGGGCCAGGGGGGAGGACATTAAGTCCCCTCCTTATTCTAATTTAGGGCCCCCACCCACCGCTCAGGGTTGGGGCGGGGGGGGTACAATAGGTCCCCCCCTTATTTTACTTTAGGGCCCCCACCCACCGTTCAGGGGTGAGGGCTGGGGGGGGGCAATAGGTCCCCCCCTTCAGGATAGAAGCCCCCACTCGCGAGGCACCGGGGGGGGGGACTTTTTTGGTTTGTGTTTTTTTTGGTATAGCGAGAAGGGGCATAATTTTCTAATACTAAGTAATCTTTACTTAGTATTAGTAAATTTGTCTGAAAGACCAATTCAGGTCTTTCAGTCTTTTAGTAGATAGCTCCCTAATACCGTGGGAATTAGGGAGTTATCTACTTATTCATTCCTGTCATTCCATTGACAGGCTACGTAACTTATATTGTATACAAATGTGTGTTACTTGATTGTTGTAAGTGTTGCAAATGCTTACAGCTGAATCCTGGCTATGTTTGTATACTTTTTATTTAAAATTGTATACAGTGTAACATTCTTCATTCTTCCACGGGGTAAGTATATTAGTACTTAGGCAATACTGTGCTTCGGAAGTTCGGCAACTTTAACACTTCGGAAATTCGGTAACTTCGGGACTTCAGCAATTCGGCAATTCTGCAATTCATCTATTCGGACATTCGGAAGTGCTCGAATGTCTGAATTGCCTGAAATTTGTCCGAATTCACATTCGGACCGAAACCAATTGCACATATCTACTTACTAACAATTTGCAAGTTATTGCACCATCACAAGCTGACTGACTGCTGGAAGGCACCCCACCACTAAGGATTGCACATACTACTCAGCACCCAACTCGTGCTATAGACGCATTGACTACTTTTTCATGCCATACTATCACCTATCCACCCTACAGAAATCTTCCATTGGTGTGTCCACATGGTCTGACCATGCTCTCCTCAGTTTGACATGAGCTTCCCCACTTCATAGGCCAAATGTAGCTACTTGGAGACTCCACGAGGCCCCTCTCTCTAACCCGCAAGTGACACAGGAGATCCAACAATCCCTTGAACACTATTTTATGGAGAATCGGCCCCAGGACACTTCTCCACTTATAACGTGGGAGGCCCACAAATGCGTCATTAGGGGCACATTAATTTCACGAAGCACTGCCCATAAGAAAGGGAGAGGTCCATACAAGACTTGACGGAAAAGATAGGAACACTGTACCTATGACACAAGCAGACACAAGATTCGACCACATGGAGGGACCTGACACAGGCCCGCAGTGAATTCTCTAAACTCCTACGAGCATCGTACGGAAGGGCACTGTAACGCACCAAGACATTTTTCTATATGGAAAGTAACAAGAGTGGGCGAGTACTGGCGCGTATGATAAAAACTGCTCCGCAACATGCATAGCCAAAATGCGGAACACAGATGACAAGGTATACCACCTATCAGACCAGATCGCAACAGTGATAAAAGATTACTACTCTTCGCTATACGGCCTGCCGTCCCCCTCCGCACATCCTGCCACCCAGCAACACGACGCAAATATCCGCACTTACCTCTCACAATATGTGCACACGGGCATCACAGCTGACTCGCGCAAGGCACTAGAGACACCAATCACGGTGGAAGAATTAGCATCCAGGGTAAAACACACCAAGGTAGGAAAGAGCCCTGGCCCGGACGGCTTGCCCTTGAAATACTACAAAAATTTCGTAACCGCATTTAACTCCATCATCACCGGTCATCACATACCCACTCAGACGCAGGCGGCAAGCATCATTCTTTTACCTAAAGAGGGCAAGGACATTGAGCAATGTGCAAACTACCGCCCTATCTCGTTACTAAACTGCGATCTAAAACGGTTTGCAAAAATCCTGGCGCTGCAGTTAGAGCCCCTTCTCCTTCTTGTGTCCACGGACCATCTAGGGTTCATCCCGAATAGGGAAGCACAAGACAAGAGTCTTGTCCCTGATACACCAAACGCAGAGCCAGTTGGAGAGCCTCCTCCTTCTATCAACAGATGTGGAGAAGGCTTTCGACAGGGTGGGATGGAACATTTTTTTTTGTGACGCTAGAGGAATTAAGGATTGGACAACACATACCACCGCTCGTTATGCATTAATGGGGTCTACACGGAGACATTCCCTATACAGAACGGAACAAGACAGGGATGCCCCCTGTCGCCGATGCTCTTCGTCCTTGCCCTCAAACCATTCCTGCAGGCAGTGCGGACAAACCCTGATATTACAGGGCTCATGCAGGGACCAGTCTACTATAAAGTAGCGGCATATGCCGACTATATGCTGTTCTTTGTATCTAACCCAGAAGTATCCCTCTCAAACATAATGGCAGCATCAAAACAGTATGGAATCCTATCCAACCTCAAAATTCACCAAATCTACGATACTGAACGTGAACATCCCGCTGCAGCATGTAGACCCGGTCCGTCAGAGTTTCCCCTTCAAGTGGAGTAAGTCGGCAATCAAATAGCTTGGCATGTGGCTCATGGGGGATCTGGCCGTTTGTACCAAGCTAACTTTATGCCCCTACTGAACACAATCCAAAAGAACTTGGTAGAATGGGTGATACCACACTTCTCATGGCTGGGCTGAGTGGCCATCATAAAAATTAACATATTGCCAAGAATTGTGTACCTCTTTCAGACACTCCCACGCACCCTCCTAATTAGAGCTTTCTTCGCATCCACACGCACCCTCCTAACTAAATTTATCTGGAAGGGCAAACAACCCAGACAGAAGTTCTCCCAGTTGACACTCCCCAAGACTGGGGACACACACATACACTGGCTGTCCCCGACCTTAAGTTATATTACCAGGCAAGCCACCTACTCCGAGTGGTGGAGTGGGCGAAGGCAGGAGTAAACAAGCCCTGGAAAGACATAGAGAAGAACCAAATGGGTAGACCATTATCGGCACTCCTGTGGTTAAGACCCATGTGGGATGACCGCTATCCCTCTCCCAACCCTTTGTTAGAGTCATGATGTCGGTTTGGTATGCCCCTGACACACAACCCGGAATTTGCCCCAGGCGAGAGCAGAAGAGGATTTATTGGCATACTCCCGCAGGAGATCCTGCAAATCCACCACGTGGTGGAGGAAGGCAAACTAAAACCACTAGACCAAGCATGTCAAACTCAAAGTCTAGCAAGGGCCACATAAACAAGGTTTAAGATTATGTGGGCCACAAAAAAAAAAAACCTTAAAATTTCATAGAAATATAGGTTTATTTTGAAAAGTACAGTATAAAAAAAAAAACAGCATCCCTGTGACGAGAACAATCTCACCACATTGCATTGGAGAAGCCTGGTTGCTCGCCTGTTGCCTTTGGATTATGGCCCCATGTTAAAAGACTTATTTTCCCCTGCAGGAAAGGCTTATTCGTGCCTTTCTGCCTGGCGGTTGGTAGATTCAATCTACCGAACTAACGCACGAATGACTGGACCAACTGGGAGCTGGAGTGTGTCGGCAATTAACCTCCCAGAAGCTGCGGTTAACCGCAGGTTAACCGCAGCTTAATTGACGAATGCTGGGTGCCCACCATTCGTATACCGTACACGAGGTCACGGCCATTTTAAACACGCGAACGCACAGCGGTGTTCTTAGCCCAACTCATGGAACTGAAAACGGATACATTTTGGCACGAACACCGCTGAAGACGCCGACCTCACTTCTTGTTCCGTAGAAGTGCACGAACGGCCCTATATTCGATAGTTTGTACCTGAATACCCCATACCCCAGATCCCGTGGAGCTCCTTCGTATGAAAACTGACTTTGTGAACACTTTGGCTCCACGGCGAATGGACTGTGTGCATAGGATCTGAGCGCTATTCAGTACTTTGGTGCGCTCAGATCCTAGCTATCTGGGGACATGTTGAATGCCTGTAAAATGTTATAAAATGTACCAGTTATGTATTTTATGTCTTTTGTTATTTTAATCTAAAATGGTGTTTAGGCTCTGTCCTGGGAGATAATTGAATTACTTCACAATTATCACCCTGAGCAGAGCAGAGGGTTCTGGGTAAGGAAAGGGGAAGTGTGTACCCTGTGATTGGTTGCTACAATGTCTTTGTCAGAGTCTTCCACCAGGTGGGAGACCTGCATAAATACAGGGCAGGTAGCCCTCATTAAACAGACCACTGCTTGACCCCTCAATATGGAGCTCTGTCTCGTTCTTGGGGGGATTTACTGTATGCTGATAGAGACTGATTGCTAGGAGTGTAAGCCGCTTGGGTGTTTTTCCTATTCGTCTGCTGGCAGCTATTCGTGAGTTTGGAGTGCTATTTTGTATGAAGTTCGGGAGTTTGGAGCATTCCCTGATATGCGGTTTGGGAGTTTGGTGTTCTGCAGTAGCTGTACCTGTATCTCTGGAAGGGGAAGATCTTCTAAACGGTGGTTTAACCCTTTTATGCTGAGGGTGCCGTTACAACCCCCCTCTACTAAATCCCAGTCCCCACACTACTAAATCCCAGTCCCTCCCCCACCCCCCCATTTACTAAATCCCAGTACCTCCCTCTAGCCAACAATTAGACTCCACTCACATTGCCGCTGCCAGTATGCGACTCCAGAGTCCGGCATCTGGTATAACCCAAATGGCGCCGTCCGCACCCTGCGCCAAGTCTGATCTTCCTGCTACTTCTTGAAACCCTGTGAAGGTGGAGCATGTCGATGTCACATTGGAATGTGATGTGGCGTAGTGTGCCTCCATGCACCTCCAGGTACTCCACTGTCCAGTTGCAGCCAATGCAACACTGTCCAACACACACACACACACACAGACAGATACTCACAGACATACAGACACAAACAGACACACACACTAACTGACAGGTACACAGACACACTCAATGACAAACACACTCATTGAACAGACACACACAGACAAACACACTCACTGACAGACACATAGACACTCACTGAAATGAAACACAGGCAGCACTCCAGGATATAGAAGGTGAATTTATTAGTGGGTTCACCACCTCACCAAAATAAGTGTGAAGCCTTAATCATGCATAAGGGATACAGCATAACAGCAGTGTTTAAATAACCCGAAAACCAATTAAGTTAATTAAAGCTTACAATCACATGTTAAAACATATGTATCAGGGACATTTAAAAACAAGACATGGAATCTACTCAAGTATAGGATCAGGATTTAAAGATGCAGTGATATATTATACAATCACATAGTAATACACTCATCTCTAGTTGATATTCCATAGCATAAAAGGATTAAATATCCTGTCTAGTACAGCAAGCTAAACAGCATACATATACCCATGCAATAGATTAATTAATTAGAAAGCACTATATAAACAAAGTCTGTTCGACTAAATGTCACTGATACATATGTTTTAACATGTGATTGTAATATTTAATTAACTTAATTGGTTTTCGGGTTATTTAAACACTGCTGTTATGCTGTATCCCTTATGCATGATTAAGGCTCTTGGGAGCTGAAACATCGCACTTATATTGGTGAGGTGGTGAACCCACAAACACATTCACCTTCTATATCCTGGAGTGCTGCCTGTGTTTCTCTTCTTTGATACTACATTGGTGGATTTAGCATTGTAACAGCACCCTCAGCATAAAAGGGTTAAACTGCCGTTTAGTAGATCTTCCCTTCCAGAGACACAGGCACAGCTACTGCAGAACACCAATCCGCCGAACAGGAAACCATACAAATGCTGTAAACAGCAGAATAGGAAAAACCATACGAATAGGTTTTCACTCCTAGCAGTCAAACTGGAACAGCATACAATAAATCCCCCCAAAAATGAGACAAGGCTCCGTGTTGAGGGTCAAGCAGTGAACAGACAGAGCTGTGGGTTTATTGTTCTTATATACACATTAGTACCACCCACAGGGTTTTGCACAACAACCAATCATAAACATACATTACAGAAACATTCCCAGCAATTACACACAAAAATCCTCCCCTCTGCCTGTGATATAATTATGTTGCACAATGGTTTAACATAATTAACACAGGCAGTAAAAATACAGTTTTTATCCATACACTGTAACTTTAAAACTACACATCCAATCTTCATAAAAATACATATTATTAATCGGCACACTTTAAACATAAACATAACCAAAAATCAGACAAATCCATCCAGGGGTTAAAAAGTTAGCTGGAGGTCCCTTTATGACCGACCGCAAGCACGTTTTCCTGCCCAAAACAGTTCCATAGATTTGGGCTGTGCGGCCGGTCTATTTCAGGCTGAAAAAACGCTTTCAGCCGATTGGGACTTAGTCTCTGCAGCTGTAAAATCAGTATGGGAGAAGGTAGGGCTCAGCGGTGTTCGCGGAAATGTGTAGCCGATTTTAGTTCCATGAATTTGGCTACACATACCGCTGACCTCGTTCGCATTAACAAAGATGGCCGCCGCCACGTGTTCGGCAAACGAACAAAGGCCACCCAGCATTGTCAATTAAGCTGCGGTTAACCACAGCTTCTGGGAGGTAAATTGCCTGCACACTTCCACTTCTGGGTGGTCTGCCTGTGTGGTACTTGGTTCAGTAAGCCCCATTTACTGAACCAAGTGGGAAATAGCCAGGCACAAAGAGTTTTAACCAGGTCTGGGGACACAGGGGACACCGTCTTAAAGGGGCAGTGTCCCAATCTTCCTGATGTCCCAAAAAGGTGTTTAAAGGGCCAGCACCAGTCCCATAAAGAGTCCATAAACCACAATATGCCCACTGACTGTCTTAAATGGCCATACACACCCAATAAAAGTGCGTACATTTTCACCATCTCCCAGGGGCCATAGTCATGTGGAATGAGCCTGGCAAATAGGCTTCTCCAATGCAATGTGGCGAGATTGGTCTCGTCACAAGCATTGTCCATCCTACACACAAAGCGCCCCCTTGGTGGAAGGCCAGAGCATATGTGTAGGACCGTAGTGCAGGGTATTCTGATTTAGTTGAACACTCATTGACAGACACACAAACACAGGCACAGGCACACACACACTTACAGACAGACACACACTCACAGACAGACACACACACACTCGCTGACAGACAAACAGACACACTCACTAACAGACAGACAGACAGACAAACAGACACACTCACTAACAGACAGACAGACAGGCACACACACACACACATTTACACATCCTTGCACACACACACACACACATTTACACATCCTTGCACACACACATTTACACATCCTTGCACACACATCATTTTCTTTATTGCTCCCTACCTTTGTGAGCCGATGTGGAGCCTCTCCCTGGGTTCCAGTGGGGATCTTCTATCTGCTCCTCACTGCTCCCTTGCGCAGTTTAGTGATGCCGGGTGCTGGAATATGACATCATATTCCGGTGCCTGGCTTCAATACAGACGGCACGCGCAAGGGAGCAGTGAGGAGAAGGAACACTGAGCTCCCTCGCTGGCCATCCTCCCTGGCCGGGTAAGTTTTAGCAGAGTAGGCACCTGCAATGTGGGGAAAGTAGGTGCCTACTATGCTATAACACTAAGTATGTACTCATGGCTCGTCGGGCCGCAAAGATGTCCATTGTGGGCCGCATGCGGCCTGCTGCCCGTGAGTTTGACATACTTGTTCTAAACAAACTCACAAACAGCCCTAACTCCACCTTCCTGACACGTTTCAGATATCGCCAGCTGAGGGACTACGTTAATAAGATCCCACAACAACCTGACATACTCAGAGACCTTACTTCATTTGAACTCACCTGCCAGGATCCTGACCCCTTGCCCCACAGCATTTCCGACCCCTTGCCCCACTACACTCCAACAACAACAGAAGCTCCTGCTCCCCTCATTTTTCTCGAAATGGGAGTTAGCTTTAAAGGAGACATACACAGAAGCACAATGGTTCAAAATATGTGACATGGTGCATCACTGTGCCATAGCCAGTAAGACCCAAGAAACGGCCTACAAGATCCTTTCTTGGTGGTATGTGACACCAGACCACCTCCAGAAGATGAACCCTGAACTAGATGGCAAATACTGGAGGTGCCATGGGTCACCGGGCTCCTTCCTCCACATATGGTGGGAGTGCCCAATCATAACAAGGTTCTGGAGTCGTGTTGCCTCAATAGTTAGTCAATTCACTGACAAACCACTGCCCTATCATCCTGCCACACCTTCTACACCACACAACCACACCCACATCTCAATACAAACGATCTTTGACTATACACATTCTCTCAGTAGCCAAAAATCTCACACCTCTGCATTGGAAAATGGACATAATGACACCAATGTCAATTTGGTTCGCAAGGATGGAGGAACTGAGGACATTGGAGGACTTGTGGTTCACCGCGCAGTACAGGACACAGACATATACAGACATCTGGACACCATGGCTCACCACAGCCCTGACCCCCGAATTTCACGACCAACACATCAAGGAACCTGCCGCAATGTAAGATTAGCACAAAGCAACTGGTTTGCTGGCCAGCATAGACCCATGAACCTAGGGGGCAAGGAGCCTTGGCACACCAGAAGCGGGAAACTGGGCACAGCCTCTCCCCATCCTCCCCCCCTTTTTTTTCCACTCTCCCCTCCTCCCCTACATCACATCACCATGCCACCTCCTCGGTCTTTCCTGATCTCAACCCACCCCAGATCAATCCAGTTTCGGAACTGGTTGGCATGCACAATAGATCCTACACGACTGAAGCCGATCCACAAAACCCATAAGCGCGGAGGTAGAGGGCATAACCCAGACCACGCATATCATGAGTAGTGATCATACCTTCAAGGGAGAGGTGGACATGGTACAAACACAGACTCCAGCCTTGATAGACATGCTGTCAGTACTGATTCTGGTTATTGTTTTGTATTGTTATGTTGCTACTACACAGACCTACGAGTCTCACTGCTACATGCTTGTTATTTTGCATGGCATAAAAAAAACAACCCACAATAAAAAGATATTTACAAAAAAAGATCAAGGGCAGAGCCATCACAAACCAAGCACAGCCCTGGCAAATTAGCATCTCCTCATAGAGATATTGAATCAAAACATCTCTATGAGAAAAGTTCAGTGTCTGCATACACTGTGCAGCACTGCCCCAGAAAGCACCTCTGGTAGCCATATGAGGAGTGGCCAGTGGAGATATCCCTAGGCTGTCATGTAAACACTGCCTTTTCTCTGAAAAAAGCCTGAAGGTAATGATTATACACATCAGAACAAATGCAATAAGCTGTAGTTGTTTTGGTGACTTTAGTGTCCCTTTAATCACTTAGCAACCACATGACGATCTATGCCATCATACAGTGCAGGGCTTTAACACTCAGTGACTGTATGGGATGTCATACAGTAAAGGTACCAGCAGGGGTTAAATCCCTGCTGGCACCAAGTATCTTTCAACCTGGCACAGAGATTGAAAGATACCTGGTGGTCCCCTCTGTAAGCTGTATCCAATGTTGGTAGCCTTAGCGATCCTGCTGAGCTGTGTTATTTCTAACACTGCCCCAGAATCTTCAAATATATATTTTTTTTTATTAGTGGACCCCCCCAGGTATCTTTTGACACCTATGCACAGGGCCGTCTTTAATGCGGGGAAAAAAGGGGTAGCTGCCTTGGGTCCAGTTATTACTAGGGGGCCCAAAGCTATAACACTAAGCAATCAATCCCTTGAGCCCGCAAATGCAGTTTGCCGTAGATAGTGGTTGTTACGGCTCCCCCGGTATGCGAGGGGTTACAGCCGTATGAGACGTTCCCTTACCGAATATAGAGGCAGCCACTGAGTGCTCCAAAGCACCGAACAATAGCCGTACGGTTGAGTCAGTTTCCCAAACAACCGAGCAGCAAGTACACGAATACAATATTCCCCCAAATAGTCGAACACGCATACTCCATACGAATAATCCCCCCAATGACGAGACAAAGCTCCGTATTGAGGGTCAGCAGGAATCTGTTTAATGAGGGCTACATGCCCGGCTTTTATGCAAGTCCCCCATCTGGTGGACACTCCCCTAGGGGACCAAATGGGGAACTGTGACAAGGACATTGAAATAACCAATCACAGGATACCCACTTAGCCATTCCCCTTTTCTTACCCAGAACCCTCTGCTCTGTTCAGGGAGATAATTGTGTAGTAATTTAATTATCTCCCAGGACAGAGCCTCAGCGCCATTTTAAGTGACAATAACAAAAAGACATAAAAATATATAACTGTTACAGTTTACAACATTTTATAGGCATTCAACAGGTCCCCAGATAGCTAGGATCTGAGCGTACCAAAGTACCGAATATGTATATGTGTATGCACCCAGGCCAATTGCCGTGGAGCCAAAGGGTTTACAGAGTCAGTTCGCATACGACTGGGCTTCACGGGATTCCTATCTGGGGTACGGTGTATTCAGTTGAAATCTACCGAATATAGGGTCATTCGTGCCATTCTACCGAATAAGAAGGAAGGTCGGCGGCTTCAGCGGTGTTCGTGCCAAGATGTGTCCGTTTTTAGTTCCATGGGTTGGGCGTCGAACACCGCTGTGTGTTCGCGTGTTTAAAAATGGCCGCGACCTCGTGTTCGGCATACGAACGGTGGCCTCCCAACTACTGTATCAATTAAGAGGTGTCTGCGGTTAACCTCAACGTTCGAATGGGGCCAAGAGGTTAATCAGCAGCACACTTCTCTACTGGGTGGCCGGCCGTTCGGTAGTTTTATTCGGTCCTAGAAGGGAACGCCATAGAGTCCACAGGAACGAGGAAAATACGAATCAAACAAACGAACGAGCAATACGGTTAGTTCAGTCCAAGACAGAGGGATCTGTCACAGTGGTGCGGAACTATCAGCGTATGCGGGGTCATGTAGCATACGCGGAGATTGCCTATAAGGAACACTTAGGGCCCCCTGATGGCAATGTGGTGCTGCGGCCCTTTAACTGCGCAGCCAGGCCTCTGTGACGCTGTGTCATCACTAGGAGAAAGTGACGGCCAGTCACTTCCTCCCAGCAAAGACAGACAGCGCGAGAGGAGGAGGCAGATTGGCAGAGCTGGGAGCTCTGAATCCCAACAGCCTCAACTGGCCGTAGGACCCCAGGGAAGTTAAGCTCATGCACTGTAAAGTGTGTCTTTTTGTCTGTGTATCTGTGTGTATGTGTATTTAACTGTTTGTATGTATATCTGTGTGTCTGTGAACATATTACATAGTTACATAGCTGAAAAGTTACTTGCGTCCATCAAGTTCAGCCTTCCTAACATTTGTTTTGTGCTGTTGATCGAAAAGAAGGCAAAAACCCCCAGCTTGAAGCACTTTTTTTTTTGCAACAAACTAGGAAAAAAATTCCTTCTTGACCCCAGAATGCCAGTGAGATTTATTGGATCAAGAAGCTATTACATATCTGCTTGCCTGTATGTGTTTCTTTTTGTCTGTATGTGTATTTATCTGTGTGTCTGTATGTGTATCTGTGTATTTATCTGTTTGTATATGTGGATGTGTGTATCTGTGTGTCTGTATATATATTTGTGTTCCTGTATGTGTATCAGTGTGTCTGTGTGTATCTGTGTGTTTGTATGTGTATCTGTTTGTATGTGTATATGCATGTTTAACGGAATACCCAATACGCAGAATATAAATCCTCAGATGAATAGATACAGAGAAAAGGTCTGTAAACCAGTTCTTAGAGTGGCCGGGTAAACAGGAAATAAGAATGCCTAAACGAGCCATGGTCAAGGTAAGCCAGAAAATCATGAAAACGAGAAACAGAGCCGAGTCAAGGGAACCAGAGAAACAGAGTAGTCAAGACAAAGCCGGGACATTTCTATAATACAATACACAAAACCAAGGTACGCACTATTGGGACACTAGAACACTAAGAACCACAACAGGGCACTGTGCCTTTGGCTGAGGGTGATTTTTTTATGTATGAGGGCGTGATTAGCATGACCATTCCCCCCAAAACAATGAGTTTGATTACTTAGAGCTCCCCTGACGACATGACTCCGACTCACGTGCGCCGTGTCATAAAAAGGACCAGGCGCACAGTGGCCAGCAGCCAATGGGCTGACCGGAGCATCTGGATGGGTAGGAGTGGTGGTCCTCCGGATCGGCTCAACAGCTGATTGGCAGAGGCCACGGTAAGTAGGGGGACCTCACAGTATGTTTATGTGTACATCTGTTTGTATGTATGTGTATTTATCTGTTTGTCTTTATTTGTACCTGTGTTTCTGTATGTATCTATTTGTATGTGTATCTGTGTGCATATGGATGCAGAGCTGCAGACCACATGGTAAGTCCGGCGATCAGTCTGCCCTAAGGTGATTAAAGCGATCGTGAGGCCCCAATCAGCACGAGGCCTTAGACAGCCGACTAAATCACCTAATTAGAGAGTCACCTCTGCCAGCATAGTTGCCCACAGTGCTGCATTCAGAGGGACTGCCTGGGCTGTCAGGCAGTTCCCCTGCTACTGAAAAAGTTTTTAAAAAAAAGACACCAGATTGATATCTTTACCCTTTAAAATATCATTCCTTAAATTCAGAGGTACTAGATGGACAAGGTTAACAATATTAGCAGGTCTAGTAACCTGTGTTTGAGAAAAGTTAGTAGTACCGAGGGTAATTGGTTCGGGTTGGCATACCTCCTCCGTGCCCGCACTGCTCCGGTCCCGCCATCCGTCCTCTTCTACCACGCTGTGCAGGCACCCAGCCGACATCGCGTGCACGCGCATGCATGCGCTATTACTAGATAGGGGGCGTGCGACTTGTCTCCAGCTTCTTAAAGGGGAAGTACCATTTTTTACCTTGAACTTGCACTCTATTTAATTACTGCCTTATTACATTAATGTCTGAGTCACCAGCTGGGTTATTAAGATTAGCTGCTTCCAAGGTTTTGAGCCTATGTTTTACATTGTCAATAGAGGCTGCTTCTGACAAGATCATACCCCACAACTCTAAGTGGTCCTTCTGTGGCATTACTTATCTCAACCGAGCCGCGCAGACCCCCTCCACGCGACTGTGCGGCACACTGAGGGAGACTCACCTCCCTTGATCCTAGCAGACCTCCTCCTGGCACGTGGTCCGACCGCTTCACGTGACTGCGCGGCACACTGAGGGAGACTCACCTCCCTCGATCCTAGCAGACCTCCTCCTGCCGCGCGGTCTGACTGAACTATGCAGCTGCGCGGCAGGACGTCTATATATAGATGTGAACGTGACGTGATGCCCACTTTTAAAGTGACCACGTCATCATTGCAATCCTAATCTGTTTTGGATCGCAGTCATGATTTGGACCCATCAGAACATAGGTAAGCCTAGTTAAGGCTTGTTTTAGCCCCCATTCAGTGCCCTGTCGTGGTTTCTGTTAGTACCTCATTTAGTGTTCCTAGTGATTCCCTTGTTATTTCCTGCGTTTGACTCCGCCTTCGTATTTGACGTATTCGTATAGTGATTTCTGGTATAGTGATTTCTGGTATCCTGACCCAGCTTTGTATCGACTCGAGTATTCCTGTTATTCCTGTTCTTGACTCTGTTTCTTGTTGTATAGTTACATTAAGTCCAGCCATTCTAAGGCTCGGTAATACGTCTTTCGGATCCACCTTTTGTGGTTTCCTCTTTCCTGCATGTTGGGTTACAACTCTCGTGACATTACAATAGGTCCAAATGGACCCTGCAGGAATGGGAGCTCTACAGAATTTTTGCCAGGCTAAAATGAGGTGTCAGGGTGGTCCCCGTTTGGGAGCTGGACAGAACCGTTCATATGACCTCTACCATAGGGGAGCAGGTAAAACACACAAATA